CATTTTTTTTTAAGTTTAGTCCTTGCATTTTTTCTTTTTTTTTTTATCTACCATAGTGTTCTCTGCAGCAATAATGGAACAAAATTTACTCCATAAGTGCACTTTACACTTATAAGTGTAGAGTGCAAAATCTGTAGAACAGAATTTTGGATAGTATTACATTCATTTAAATTGACCTAAAAAACTAAATTAATACAGAAAATTAAAGAAAAAAAAACTACTTTTAAGATATCCAACATTTGCATTGACATAATTTACTTCTGAAACTTTTATTCAACTTATTCAAATTGGTTTAGCATTTTTCCCCCAATAATTTCAAAACCAATTTGTCGCCATGGCTACTTTAGTCAAAAGAAGTGAAAAGAAAGGACAGGTGTTGATCACACATAGAGGCCAAAATCTATCACCATACTCTAAAGATTTTAATTTGTGCTCTTAATCTACTCACATCATTTCATTTACATGTGAACATGCTGGAGAGTAGAGCAGCTTCGTCACTGGAAACACCTCATTTTACTCACTACCAAGAAATCTACCAGGAGCCACAGGGACCAGGAGGTCCTGCATGGAGATTTGCATGCAAAACAACAAACACATCATGCACCTGCCTCAGTGTTTGAAAGACAAAACAAAAACAGCAGAGGATGCAAACATCTCTGAAGGCAGCTCACGTTTTCATCTGACACGGATCCAAAATGCTTTACAATAATACGAACTTTACAAAAAATGTAGCAAAACTTGAATATAGCCTTATAAAAACAGGAGGAGGAGCGGGGAGGAGGGTTCATACATTCCTTCTGCTGCTGGTTCCCTGCATGGCATGCTGTCTGCAGGGAAGCAGCGTTTGGATTGGTCACGGTCGTGTTTGTGTGCTTTTCACATCACCTGAAGACGATCTGCTCAGCCGGCATCGGGCCTGCATGCACAGCAGACGCTGAAGGTGCTACACTTCACATTTTCACATTAAATGTTCTGAACCCAGAACTTCTTAGGCAGGAGGATGAAAGATGGAAACCCGGTTCTGCTACAGAAGGATTATCCTAAAAGTACTTGAACTATAGGACTGGTTCAGCCAGGATAATTGGTAGAAAAATAAAGTACAGTTATTAATTTTTTTTACTAATTTTAAATAAAATGTAATTATTCAATAATAAATGTTTTTAAATCTATTTTAATTACCTAAGGTGACATCTAATTGTTTAATGGTGAATTTTTCAAGGGAGTTGTCTAATTAATACTTAAATTATCCATTAGATAAATATTTAAATTAATTGTAAATAATTAATAATTTATCTAATTAGAATCTGAACACTTTTTCACTAAGATGTTTATTTTAAACTTTATTTTGTGGGGATTAATAATGGGGTAGCAAAAGGTTCCTTAAAGATTTTTATCTGCTTCAGTAAATAAACCTGGAGTTTTAGTTGCGCGGTACCAAAAACATCACTGAGTAGCAACAGTGACTCCTAGGTGCCAGGCGGTGCTACTGCACCAATTCTAATGTGGTCCAACGGTAAGAACCCAAATAAAACTTTTAGTTTCTTTGACAGACTGATACCTCTAAAGCAGATGTTCAAAAGCATTTCAACCAGTGATCCCTGAAGACCGATGTAACAAACACAGAGTGGAGAACCGCTAAAAGCACATTAAACTGAGGCCGATTCTCAATTCACTAGAACGCGAGTATGGACTCGTGTTCTCGCCAAGTCTGTTCTAGAGAAGAACCCAGGAAAGTCTGGACTCAGAGGCTACTGATGACATCACCACATTCAAAGCTAGTCTGGAGCTGCATTTCACCTCCTGTTATTAATTATCTTTAGATAATAATAAATTATGACTTTTTTTTCATTTGGTGGCAGAATAATAATGAACACAGTCAGATAAACACAAATCAAATGAACATTTTGCCAAATAAAGCAATCAAACCTCCATCAGAGCCAGCGGTACTTCACACACGGCTATGCAGAGAGAGGGCCGTTACAGACGGGCTAACGTTAGCCCTGGCCATTGCAGACGGGCTAACGTTAGCCCTGGCCGCTGCAGACGGACTAACGTTAGCCCTGGCCGCTGCAGACGGACTAACGTTAGCCCTGTCCACTGCAGACGGGCTAACGTTAGCCCTGGCCGCTGCAGACGGACTAACGTTAGCTCTGGCCGCTGCAGACGGACTAACGTTAGCCCTGGCCGCTGCAGACGGACTAACGTTAGCCCTGGCCGCAGCGGACGGGCTAACGTTAGCCAAGGCCGCTGCAGACGGGCTAATGTTAGCCCTGGCCGCTGCAGACGGGCTAACGTTAGCCCTGGCTGCTGCAGACGGGCTAACGTTAGTCCTGCCCGCTGCAGACGGACTAACATTAGCCCTGGCCACTGCAGACGGGCTAACGTCAGCCCTGGCTGCTGCAGATGGGCTAACGTTAGCCCTGGCTGCTGCAGACGGACTAACATTAGCCCTGGCCACTGCAGACAGGCTAACGTCAGCCCTGGCTGCTGCAGACGGGCTAACGTTAACCCTGGCTGCTGCAGACGGGCTAACGTTAGCCCTGGCCCTTGCAGATGGGCTAATGTTAACATTAGCCCATCTGCAGTTAGCCTCGGTGGTCAGCTGGTTGCCGCGGTCCTCTCAACATCTGAACTATTTTACTTTAGTTGTATTTATAAATATAAAGATAATTAATTCACTTTAAATAGTTGGGGGGCATAGATTAATTTTTAAAATCTAAATTAATCTCACTGTAATCCTGGAATTAACCTAGATGAATCTAGATTAAAATCGCTCATTTGAATTCTGACAAAGACATGGATTATATGTGTGCTACCTCCAGAATTTAAAAGATAAGGTTTACTTTTTTTTTGTTTGCACAAAAGTTATAAATGCTTTACTTTACTTGTTACTGTGTTTTTGCTGCAAAGAATAGATTTTCCCACTACCAATCATAGATGTTCCACTTTAACAATATAGTGTCACGCACATCGCCTCGATCAACTTCTCATCTTTCGCGGTTTTCTCGGCGGCGTGCTGGTCATGTGTTGTCGTCGTGTGCCTCAGATGCTCATGAGTTGCTGGTCCTGCTGCTATAGTTGCTGCAGGACCTTTTGATGTACCTTCATGCATGTCAACCATTGACTTTGCATGTAAAACGGCTGCTTCTGCTGCTTAAAGCATGTTGTAGCATTAAGTCATTTCATCCTGAATGTGGCTAACAGTGATAAAAGTACAGATTTAACAGCCAACTGTGCTTTTTTAAAGGTTAGTGTCTTGATTGTAAGAATAACGTAAAATTAAAGTCCACAGAAAAAAGTTTCTATTAAACAAACCAAACTCTTACCAAGATAACAAAAAACATTTTGATTTGGAATCCTGTAATAAGCATTTTTTTGGTATTTACTGGCTAACCGGATGAGTTATGTGACTCAGGATCGCAGCGCCAGGGCGTCTCGCACGTTAGCTGAGCGACTGCATAGAGGCAACGCAGGCAAAAGAAAAAATTAAGAAAAATTTTAAAGACTTTCAAGGTCGGTGTCTTTTTTTGGCTGGTTTTAAAAAGTTTCCAGGACGTGTATCATAAATTATGATAAACTCTATAAGGATATGTTTACTACGTGTTTTTAAACATCCTTAGGAATGGAAAACAAGGTTTGAAAAAAAATGTAGTTTCTATCTATATTCTATAAAGAAACATTTATCCGTCCACTCAGGTGTACTTTATTCATTTTATACCATAAAAAATATCAATATACCAACAAAGTAGCTGCATGGAAATATAGTAGTAATTTAGCTTTACAGTTGTAATGTGCGTTGCCTCTATGCAGTCTCTCACTTGGCATGGCTGCTCAGTGGCGCAGTGGGTAGCACTGCTGCCTTGCAGCAGGAAAGTTCCTGGTTTTATTCCCGGCCCGCAGTCTTTCTGCATGGAGTTTGCATTCATGGGTTCCCTTCGGGTCCCCTGGCTTCCTCCCACAGTCCAAAAACATGAATGTTAGGCTGATTTATATGGCCTGACGTAGTCCTACTCAACTCTAGTCAGAATATGAGTCTGATACTGCTCCATAGAGCTGTGATTATGGGGCGTGTTTCGAACGAACCAGGAAAGAAAATGCCTCTGCACTCAATTGGATAGACCTACAACCAATAAGAGCAACGGAGTGCGTGACGTATGTTAAGCGACCAAGGGAGCCAGCTGATAAATTAAACTTTTGCCGAATCCCATAGGAAGGACGCCAAAAACATCTTTCTTTTCAACAAATGCCTTGATCGCGTTTTTCTGTTCCTCTTTTAAAATTAATTTGCTGTCGATATCTTCTAGAACAGACCTAATAGCAGAATCTACTCACCTCAAATCTCCAGCGGCAGCCATTGTTGTTGTCACCCAAGCGCGCTTTGGTGACGTGGTTGATTACGTTACTGTTGATCAACTGTCCATCATCGTATAAAGCCCGCCCTGACAAATTGATTGGCCCGCCAGATATTGTGCTAGCATACTCGCGATACTGTTGAGCAATGCCAGACCGAACTTCCCGACCTCAAACGTTGTGGGCGGGACTAAGTTCGGAATGGCACCCAGGCTATGATTTATACTCATAAACTAGGTCGTCTGCGTGCGTCGCAGTTAACGCAAATATGCCCCGCCCCTTCTGCAGACACTCTGGTGCACCTCTCCAAAATTGTAGGTGACCACAAACAGGAGGCCTCTGATTGGTCAAATCTACATCCGCTCTACACTATGTGTATTTCCTGTTTGGTTCCTTACCGACTTGTTTTGTTTGTAACCGCCATTGTGGAAAACGACTGGTGAAGATGGAGCAGCTAGCAGAGCGAGGTGTGCGAGAATGCTGGGACCCTTTTTCCACCTGGATCCCCGCTCTTTTTGGCCCTCATGTCCCTCCGTTGTCGCACAAACTTGCCCCTACTTCCTCACCGCCTCGGCCGTATCTAGACCCACAGCTAGTTCCTGATTGGCCCTCTGGCGTTGTGGCGTGGAATAACAGCGAAGACCACGCTTTAATATTGGGCATAAATCAAAAATGTCTGCGACAGGCTGCTGCGGGAGGATAACCAGACCTTAGGGTTAACTGGCTTCTCTAAATTCTCCTGTCTCTGTGTTGTTGTTTTTTTCCATTACAATGATCAACAAATTTGAATTTTCTGTATGCAACGATGCAATAGCTTCCACTAGATTGGACTATATGCAGACCTGCCCAAAATTTAAGGTATATATAAAAACATTTTAAATAGCTGTAGACAGTAGTGATCACTATGCATGAAAGGATTAAACTCTCAAGGAGAAGTTGGAGGAAAACAACGTTGTGACCCTCCACTTGCTCCCAACCCCACTTTCCTGTAAGGGTCCTTCCTACAGTAAAGTGAACAGCTGAGAACTTACCTGAACCTTTTCTCCAGACTGAACTGACTCTGGACCTATATGGTTCTTAGAGAGCAGTGAGCCACAGAAGGATCCTCCATCAAAGAAATGCTCTAAATCTAACAATGACATCTGAAAGCTACCTTTAGCTAACTTATTTGAAATCATGAAAGTTCAGGTACTGAAGTAGCAGAAGGAAAACCAGGAACCAAGAGGGTTCTAAAAAGTTCCTTCTGTTAAAACTTTCTTGTAAGAACCGAGTGAAACTGCAAAGACGTTTGAGCAGTGTCACCTTCAGCGTCCGCTTCAACAAAGAACATGAAACAGTAAACATTTGGTGAAGTTCTCATGAGGTGCTTCTGCTGGGCCGCTGTGGAGGCGGAGCTTAGGGCCCGAACGGCCTGGAAGACTGGTATTCACTGGGCACTTTGGGCTTGATGCCCTTGCTGTTGTAGTAGTCAACCACCTGGTTGGGCACTTCTGCTAGGACGCTCTTCGCCAGAGCAGCTGGAGACGCCTGAGGAGGACAGACAGGATTGAGAATTAGATGGAAGACCGGTTCCACCTGGGACCCAGAGGATGGTAGAACCCCCATCAGCAGGAAGAACCTGTAGGAACCAGGATCTAATATGAACAAGTTCTCCTCCAAAGTCTTTGGATGCTCTATGAAGGTCCCGCCACAGCATTTCAGTCAGGCTGAGGTCTGGACTTTGACTAGGCCACTGCAGAACCCTCATTCTCTAAAGCCGGTCATAAACTATGCAATTTTTTAAATCTTGGCATGCGGCTACAGCTCAAACTCTAGGACAAAACCACGGGCTTTAACAGTTCACAGCTCGCGACCTTTGTTCTCACACTGTGTGGCCCAATGCTCTGATGATCTACCTGCTGACACTGTACGTCTAAAAACCACACGTCGGACTCAGCGGCGAGAGGTGGCGCTGGTTGGACTCATCAGTCTGGAAAAAGAAGAACTCCCTTGTTTGCACAGTTCTTGAGGTTCTGGTAAATCGGCTCGTAGTTCTGCTTCAACAGCAGGATTTGTCCTCGACCGCCTTACAACGGCCGACTGAATTTCAATCATGTTTGATTTTCTCCCAACCTTACAATTCCTGACTGGGAGGGGGTCGTGCAACGCAGGACGCAGGATCAGGCTGAAACTTGGCTACTAAACTACTGTTTAATGGATCATGGTTCTGCTTATTACCCAGTTTGCTCCAGACTTCAGCCGTTGGACAGATGAACTAGCCTCGTGAGACCATCCTGATCTCGCGAGCTTTCAAGGTTTCACTCGCAGATCAGTCTGGAGACTCTCCGTTAAAGAAAGTTTGGAGCCGTTCACCAAACGAACGTCCAATCAGCGTTGGCTTTGAGGCGGGTTGAGGTGTGACGCAACGAGAAGCGCGACAGTTCAGTCTAAAGAACATGGCGGCTTAGGCCGATGAAACTAGCGTTAGCGTGGCTATCGAGCAAGTTTTATCGGAATTACAGAGTATTTCTTCACTGAAAGAAGAGCAAAACACTGCTCTGGAGGCTTTTCTCAGAGGAAAAGATGTTTTTGCTCTTCTCCCCACTGGTTTCGGCAAGAGTAGCCTGGCTTGTGGTTATGTTTTCGTCGTCGCTCTGTTAGTACGTCATATGCTTCGTTGATCTGATTGGTTTATTTGGTCCGTCTATCACCAACATAGGCCAATCAGCTAACCAGTATTTTCGCCCCTTCCCAAAATTACTTCAACTAGATGGATATGCGGAGCAAATCCATCTGGCGGAGTCAGGTTACAGATGAACATCAATCTGCCCAATGACAGTAAGGATCTAAACAAGTCATCACTCCTCCACCGCCGTGCCTCACAGTTGGTCAGACGTGTTTTAGCTGAGCTCCTCCTGGAGGTTTCCTCCAAACGTGGTTCTGGCCATCATGGTGCAACTGTCCGGAGGACATCGTTCCTGAAGTCTTCCTTAGTCAAGTCAATGCTTCCTGCATGCTATAATTCTAAACATGTTTTTTTTTTTGTTCGCTTGTACGTACTATACGTAAGAACAGTGGGGAAAAAAGATCTGCTGGAAGCGACACAGTTTTTGAGTGGGTTTATATTATGAGAACGTGGATGTACTTTTATTTTTGTTCATAAGTTGAAGAATATTATCTGGTCTTGTTCACGTTTCAATACTTGTTGCTAGACTGTTTTTCCATGCAGTAAATAGAAACAAAGTGAGCCACTGCAGTGGGCTAATATACTGTACATTTACAGATTTACATTTTACAGACCTTCACATTTTTGCGGCTCCTTACAGATCTGACTTCTGTTATTTTGGTCCAGTTTGGCTCTTTGAACAGTTTAGGTTGTCGACTCCTGGTTGAGATTGATGTAGAAATAATCCTGCATTGTCAATCAGATTGCATCAGATTTCCAGCATCTTACTGATGATTTTCTATAGGGAAGCTTTATCTTTCGATTGATTAATGTTGAAATTCATTCTGTTCATTGTTGAAGTTTAGTTGATCTAAGGACCTGATGAGGAAAATACGCCCTCAGCTGATGTGCTGAAATAAGTTATAACCAAATTCATTTCTCACTCTTTGACATTTCTTCCCTGGATGAGGAAATGACTCCCCCCTGCCTTCTTCTTCTGCAGTCAGAGTCCATTTCTTTGCCTCTTGGGAGCAAACAAAGAAAAACCCACATCCATCACGAAGATTACGCCCAGAAGCGAAACATATTCATTATGTTGTAGAGCGGAGTGTCGTTCTGTCGGGGTTTATAAAGAGCGAACGTCTGTTTAGAGGAGAAGCGATGGGCAGCGAAGATCAGGAGGCGGAGTGGAAAGCCGTCTCTGTCTGCCTGCTTTGATCAGTGTGAAGTTTCTGTGATTCACTGCTTTCCAAACTCGGAGTCGTCACAAACTTCAGGGAAACGCTGTGATGTTCCAGCACTTTGCTCTTCAAGGTAGAAGCTCTGAAAGGAACCCTGTGGGTTCTCCTCTGGCTCTATAAATAACTGAAAGTGGTTCAAACCATAGACATATGTGTAGAGCCATCATTGGATGCTGGCCGACATGCCTAGAGGGCGGCCATCTTGGATCATGAAAGACGAGTCAGAGATAATATTACAATAACCTCTTACATGTCACAACCCCTCAGAGATTTAGAAATATGATTTTTTGAAATAAATAATAATTAACTTTTGTAACGTGGAGTTTTTGTGTTTGGAGAACTCACATGTTTGAAGTTGCGAAATGGGACAAACTGGACGATATCCCGGAGGACGGGCTCTCCTTTGGGGGACCTCAGGATCCCGTCATCTCCGTCCAGCATCTGCATGTCTCCGAAGTCAGCGTTCCCAATCCCCACGATGATGATGGACATGGGCAGGTGCGAGGCCTGGACGATGGCCTCCCTGGTGTCGGCCATGTCCGTGATCACGCCGTCGGTCAGGATCAGCAGGATGAAGTAGGCCTGAGGTCAGGAAGTAGGAATCAGATGGGATTTTAACACAGTTCCAGTTCAGACTGGTTGGAGGGAACAAACGGATCAAGGCTCACCATGGCCTCTTTGGTGTGGACCTCCTGTGAGGCGGACTTGGCCACCTTCTGGATGATGGGGGCAATGTTGGTGGGACCGTAGAGCTGCAGCTTGGGCAGGCATGCCTGATAAGCCTCCACCACGCCCTGAATACCTGAAGGACCGAAAGGGACCGGGTCAAAACCAGGCTACTGCAACAAGTATCTGGCATCAATAACACTCCATTGGACTGGGTTACTTTCTACTTCTCTGGCTACACTCAACTAAAGAACATCCAATCCACCCCTCCCCGTCACCTGATGTGTGCCTCAGGGCTCTGTCCTGGGGCCCCTCCTCTTCATCATCTACCACCTTCCCCTAGGCACTATATTCCGCAAACTTAATATCCACTTCCACTGCTATGCCGATGAAACCCTAACCTGACTCCGCCATCTGGAAACCTTCCATTGAAGTAATTTTGGGAAGGGGCGAAAATACTGGTTAGCTGATTGGCCTATGTTGGTGATAGACGGGCCAAATAAACCAATCAGATCAACGAAGCATATGACGTACTAACAGAGCGACGACGAAGAGGAGCCAATTGATAGATCAAACTCTTGCTGAAACCAGTCAGGAGAAGAGCAAAAACATCTTTTCCTCTGAGAAAAGCCTCCAGAGCAGTGTTTTGCTCTTCTTTCAGTGAAGAAATACTCTGTAATTCCAATAAAACTTGCTCGATAGCCACGCTAACGCTAGTTTCATCGGCTGAAGCCGCCATGTTCTTTAGACTGAACTGTCGCGCTTCTCGTTGCGTCACACCTCAACCCGCCTCAAAGCCAACGCTGATTGGACGTTCGTTTGGTGAACGGCTCCAAATTTTCTTTAATGGAGAGTCTCCAGACTGATCGGCGAGTGAAACCTTGAAAGCTCGCGAGATCAATGAAACCCAGCTCTACCTCAACGCAAAACAATTGTCTTCTCTTCCGCCTGCCTCCCTCACAGATAGCATCTCTGAAATAAAACCCTGGTTCACCAACAACTTCCTTCAATTGAACAGTAATAAACATGAGGTTCTCCTTATTGGCGCTAAATCAGCTACTTCTAAAACCGACAGCTTCCCACTTATTATTGACATCTCCTCCAGCTCACCGTCCCCCCAAAAGAGTCTGGGTGTCATCCTCGATCGCACCCTATCCTTTCAATCCCACATCAATTATATTACCTGGTCTGCCTACTTCCACTTAAAGTCGTAGAGAAGCAGCTTTTCCAACGACTGCAGTTCAGAATTCTCCCGAGTGGTGCCCGCGTTTACACGAGTGAATAAAGTGAATGTGATTGGTCGGTTATCAAGGGGGCGGGATTGTAGTGGCAGGAGGTTTGCAAGTATGTTTGGTTGTGGCCAGTTTGTCGGAAGCATCTTGCTAACCAGTTAGCATCTTAGTGCTAGCAGGTTCCCAATGGGAAATTCCATTGGGACCAAGTAGCGCTAAATTGGTGACTTAGAAACGACGCTGTCAAGGAACGCTATGGACAGCGGAAACATGCAAGAGGAGGAGAGTTTAGTGTCGGAGGTCGTGGATGAGTCTCCTCCGTCATCCATTTTTTATTTAGAGGAGGAAAGCGGGGACAAAGATGTTGTGGAAGAGGACGCCAGGGCGGCAGAAGCTTGGTTTGGTGTAGAAGGCTTCCAGCCGTACATGTTTGAGCCCTTGCCTCGCAACGCTGCCAGTTCTGTTAGCTCTACGCCTGCCGAAGACACAGACGTCCATCCCCGTGAACACTGGGACGCAACTCAATGGGAAAGGAAAGGATTCTGATTTCAACCGTTGCGTATATTAGCTGCGACACATGAATGAAGATGCTATGACCGAAAAAAATTGATTGACAGATGACCGTTGATATATGATTGGCCAAATTTAGGTGTTCAGGCTGATGTAGAACTAACTGGCCTGCAGAAGATAATGAGAAAAACCTCACAGATTTTAAGACAATTTAAGAGGATTTTTTTTTTTTTATATATAAAAAAGTTTCTAAATTTTGGGACAATATGTTCTGATAAAGAGTACATTTATATACATGTTTAAGCCAGAATGATTTGACATTTAAATATGATTTCCCTACAGCTTTAATATATCATAAATAAGTACTGGTTTTGTGTTCTGTAAAGAATAAAAAAGCAGTAATGCCTAAAAATCCCTGAGCTTCTGGATGATTGTTTAACCTCAAACTGACGTTTCTGCTTCTACAGTGAAATCTCCATCCAGCTCCAGTTTATCAGTTTTCCTCGTTTGCTGATGATGAGTTTTACCCAGAGGAGGGGGGGCTGATGGGGGGGAGGAAACATCACCCAGAAGGTCAGCATGTAGACAGAGGAGCCATCAGCAGATGAAAGCATCAGTTTGATCAATGAAGGACAGCAGCTCTGATCTGTCCTTTGCATCCATGACTTATAGGTCGTCGTCATGGAGACAGAAATACCAGGATGCAGTTTCAGGTTTTGTTTTTTTGGGGGGGGAGGGGGGGGTCATTACATCTTCCTGGTTTCACCTCTGATTTCATCCCTCGTCATTAATGTTCATAGAAAAGTAGAATCTAGAAGCGCTGATCAGGACGCCACCAGCCTGTGGTCACCTCACAGCCTGGAGCATCTTCTGCACCTACCTGCACACTCCGGGTTGTCCTCGTTAAAATTCACGGCAAAGTCGTGGGAGACCTGCGAGGAGAAACAGGAAGCTGCTTTTGATATTTGATCAAAGAGGAGAGCAGGGCGGTTCTGGTTCTGGACCGATGTTGGATTCATGTCGGTTTCACTCATTTTAATTCATCTTTATTCTACAAGAAGGGAAATAAAAATCACTCTGATCCTCTGCAGCCTTTAAGCTTAGAGATTCCAGGCTGTGGGCCCTAAATGGAGCCAATCAGAACTGCTTTGAATGCAGCATCCGGTCCAGGACTGAGCGGCCAGCAGGAGGCGTGGGGGGGGGGGGAGGGGGACATGCAGACCCCCGCTGTGAGGAGACACAGATCCCTGATCAGCTTCTCTGAGCAGAGGGCATGCTGGGAGGAGCGGCGGGGGGGGTTACCTTGAAGTCCGGGGGGATCCGGGCGCCGAAGCCGAACGCCGGGAACATTTTATCACTGAAGGAGAGAGAAAAGGTTCTGACGTCAGAGACCCGGTTCTTACCCCCCGCCCCCAAACAAATAGCTGTAAAGGAGCAAATGAAACCTTTATTGAATCTAAACCCTGATAGACTAGTGAGTCCTGCTGCCAAATTATTTATTTGTGTTTTACTTTTAGTTTTTGCAAAGGTTGCTAATAAATAAAGACCTTCCTGTTAATTACCGCAGCAAAGGAGGTACGATGCTGCAGGAGCACGTGAACCGAGTGGAGCGCCGTGCAATTCCCGCTCCCCACTCAGTAAATATTATTTCACTAATTTTATAATCCAATATTTTTAATTGATGTTGTGAGAACAGAGGGGCGAACTGGCTCGCTCCACGCTCCGCTCACATGCTCTGGATGCTGCGCAGGTGTGCAGGAGGTAAAGAAGGAAGTAGCCTATTGCGGCTAACCCACTTAGCACCTCAAACAAACAAGTATTTGGTTCCAAAAGGAATCAAACTGTAGCAGAGCCGGGAGTCCAGTCTGACTGCTGACCTTTTGTGACCTCTGTAAGCATCTTCAATGACAGCGGAACAGACCTGGGGGGGGGGTCGACGTGGCCGGGCTGACTGCATCTCGAACATAATTACAACTATTCTAAGTCATCGATTACAAATTTTGACTTCTTTTAAATTTTACAATAGATTTGTTTGAATTAGAAGTACAGTTAAACCTATAGTTTGTTTTATAAGACAGGATAGATATTATATTAGATGTAATGTAAATGTAACGACATGTGTTCTTGCTTTCTACTGTTGTTATGCTGAAACCTGTGTTAATTTACATCAGGGTGTCTGATGTATTTGACTCTTTTGCAATGTTTCCTTCATGTCCAGCAACGGAGATCATCTCCCATTTTGGCCGAACTTAATAATTAATAATTGAACTTTTAATTGATCTCAGCAGTGGGCTGCCATCGTGGGGCACCCGGAGAGCAATCGGGGCTAAGGGTCTTGCTCAGAGACCCAGAGCGCAGCACTTTCTCCGTGCAGTGCGCAAGACGTCAGATCATGTTACACTAAAACCGATTCCAGAAAAGAAAAAGGAAAGAAGAGCTGCTGGAAGAACGGAAAAAACTTCAGAAAATAAACATGTTCTTTCAAAGAACGGAAGAGGGAAAGGTGGACGTTGCTGCTACTAACCAGTCCAGTCAATAGAACACCCAGATAATGTTGCTTACGGGCATTTTGTTGTGTCGTTATTCCACTGTGGAACCGAAAAATTAATCAAGGATGTTGGATTTTTTAACCATTTTAATTCTTAATGTTCGATTTAAAACCAATCTCTGAGTTAGACTCATCTATCTCCCTGAAAAATCTATTAGGGACCAGAGGAAGGAGAGCAGTGCTGCTCCCACCGAGCCGCGGTTCTGACCCACCTATCGTAGTCCTGGCAGATCTCCCCCACGGCCACCAGGGCCTTCAGGTACTCGTTAGGCTGGTATGGGTGGATGTAATGCAGAGAGCAGCTGTTCCGAGGGTCGCCGTTAGAAGCCGTGAAGTCGATTGCCACCTGCAGGGAGAGCAGCCAATCAGAGGCTCCGGTTTCTGCTTCATCGAACAAACAAACAGAAACGGTGTAGGTACCAGGTCTGCTCAGGGCCCCGCCCCTTCTTATGACACCAAAATATGGCAACTCCACTTGGACAAACTGTGTAGCACCCGTTTCTGAAGGATGAAATTTCTTCTGGAATCTCAACATATTATTACTTATATTTGCTGTTATTTTACATTTCATCTGTGATCTAAAGAAGCTGAAAGTAGAAAACAATCATTTCAGTCTGGAAGGAAAGTACCGCCTTCTAAGGCTGGCTGGATGTGCTCTCTTCATCCTCTGACATGGGAGCTGGCTCGGAGCTCGTCTGCCTGGCTGTGTGTTTCCTGGACGGGGTCGCCTGTGGAGCTGGTTGACGGTTGCCTTTTGTATCTATGCTTCTTTTTCTATGTCTGCTTCTGTCTCCTTGAACCCCAGTGGGCCTCAGCAGATGGCCGCTCACACTGAGCCTGGTTCTGCTGGAGGTTTCTTCCTGTTCAAAGGGAGTTTTTCCTCCCCACTGTCGCTACAAGCATGCTTAGTGTGAGGGATTGCTGAAGAGTCAATGAGTCAATGCGATCATCATTAGCCACGCTAACGCTACAGATACTCTCGACTGCGTGATGTTATTATCGTTGTCAGGGCAACCAGGATGTTAACATCATGTGGCAACGTTCAGCCAATCATGTAGCGTAACGTCACTGGAATGAAGCAGGACCACAGCAGATCTGGGAGCTACAGCGGTTCCCAGAGAAAGAGACACGATAGAAGATGAATCTGAGCCTGCTTCTGTTTCCCCGGGCCGGCCGGCTCCATCCTTCTGCTTCCATGTTCACAGCTCTCCCTGAATCCTAGAGGATCCCTGAGAAACAGACTGAGTCTCAGTCAGCAGACGGGCTGTGATCAAACATTCAGAGACGCGTGTCGACACGTGTTAGCAGCAGGTTCTGCTGATCCTTCAGGAGGCCCTATCAGCGAACCGCAGGGTGAACAGAGGAACCCAACAGAACGCCAACCTGCTCAACATCATTCATCACAGAACCCGTCCTGCTCATCAGCTGCTGCTTAGAGCCACGAAGAACAACACAGTTTCAGCAGGTTTAATGATTTCTACATAAATAAAATAACAACATCACGAAAAATGAGCTATTTTTACATCAATGAATCTTTAAACTTGTAGAAATTATTACTTATAGATGAAAAGTCTAGTTCTTAGAGCCAGATTGACACACAGAGGAACGAAAGCTTAGATGACCTAATTTCCTCACGGTATGGGGTGAAAATACCCTCAATAAAAACTGAAGTCAAACATGGAAAAAAATAAAACGTTTGTTACTTTCTGTGACATCAGATGATTCATCTGTGAAAATAATAGTTCATAAATTAAGAATAAAAGTTGCAACTTGGCAGCAATACAGGAATACAGTCATAAATCAGAAATTTGCAACTAAGGGTAACAAATCTGTGAATCACAAATTTATAAGAGAAATCCCACATTTGTGACTGGATAACAAATTTACAAGTAATAAATCTCAGTGTTCTTAAGTAGGAATTACTCATTTACAATCACTGTTTGTGATCCTTACGTTGGCAACTGGGAGTGGGGATGCTGCAGCACCCCCTGGTGGCGAGAGGGAGATTTAAAAAAAATATTTCCACAATTTATACATTTCTTATGAATATTTTGGAAAATTATTTTACATTTTTTCCGTTATACTAGTACATGTTTTTGGATTCTAATTGAATTATTTTGAGGCCTAATCAACACAAATTCATGGAAGTTACATCGTCATGGCAACGTCAACCTAACCTGACTCCTTCCGTTGAAGTAATTTTGGGAAGGGGCGAAAATACTGGTTAGCTGATTGGCCTATGTTGGTGATAGACGGGCCAAATAAACCAATCAGATCAACGAAGCATATGACGTACTAACAGAGCAACGACGAAGAGGAGCCAATTGATAGATCAAACTCTTGCCGAAACCAGTCGGGAGAAGATTAAAAACATCTTTTCCTCTGAGAAAAGCCTCCAGAGCAGTGTTTTGCTCTTCTTTCAGTGAAGAAATACTCTTTAATTCCGATAAAACCTGCTCGATAGCCAAGCTAACGCTAGTTTCATCGGCTGAAGGCGCCATGTTCTTTAGACTGAACTGTCGCGCTTCTCGTTGCGTCACACCTCAACCCGCCTCAAAGCCAACGCTGATTGGACGTTCGTTTGGTGAACGGCTCCAAATTTTCTTTAACGGAGAGTCTCCAGACTGATCTGCCAGTGAAACCTTGAAAGCTCGCGAGATCAGGATGGTCTCACGAGGCTAACGTCAACCAAGCTAGGGCGTGGTATCCCGCTCACCGCAGCAGAATAGTAAACTTACAAGAGTCTAATGACAGAAACCAGTAGGAAATATGGCAGAGAAAAGCATTTTGGGTTCATCCGCTAATTAAGGGGCTTTATCTCTAGTAGCTCGGAGCGCACCTGAACATCTGGACAGGTGCGCTCTGTCCAGACGTTACAGACAGGGCAGGGCGGTAGCTCAGAGTAAGAGCATGGTGCCGCCGCACACTTTCATATCTATCCATGCAGTTCAACCTAACCATAGTGTTTTAGAGAGTTATTTTGATCTTGTGTTCTTTGTGCAGTGGAGAACTGTTCAATAACGTTTACAGCAGGAGTAAGCATCTAAAAATCAGAATAAAGAATAAAGAAAATCATCAACCAATAAATAATGTCAGAGACATTTTTCATTATAAAAGTTAGTTTAAACAGAATTTAACACTGAAATAAAAAGCAGATGTTTATGCATCCATGTTATATATTGAATTTTTAAATCGAAAAAAAAAAAGAAAATTTTTCCATTTTAAAATCTAAAGTGTTTTTTTGAAGTAGAGAACAACAACCGTTCAGTTTGGTATAAAGACAATTTCCTGATTCCCATATTTTATGAAACACCTGAACTGACCGTTTTAATGTTGGCAGTGGGCTTTAGGCTGCCCTGCAAGGCTTTAAACCTGGGTTTGAACTGAGACTAAGCCATTCTCAAGCACATATCAAGGTGCTCATTTTGAGCCTGGATCCAGAATTCTGACTTTTTCTCAGAATTCAGACTTTTTTCTCAGAATTCTGACTTTTTTCTCAGAATTCTGACTTTTTTCTCAGAATTCTGACTTTAATCTCAGAATTCTGACTTTAATCTCAAAATTCTGACTTTAATCTCAGAATTCAGACTTTTTTCTCAGAATTCAGACTTTTTTCTCAGAATTCTGACTTTAATCTCAGAATTCTGACTTTAATCTCAGAATTCTGACTTTCATCTCAGAATTCACTTTTTTCTCAGAATTCAGACTTTTTTCTCAGAATTCTGACTTTTTTTCTCAGAATTCATACTTTTTTCTCAGAATTCTGACTTTTTTCGGAAGAATTCTTGCTTAACTCTCAGAATTCTGACTTTCATCTCAGAATTCAGACTTTTTCTCATAATTCTGACTTTAATCTCAAAATTCTGACTTTTTTTCTCAGAATTCTGACTTTTTTCGGAAGAATTCTGGCTTAACTCTCAGAATTCTGACTTTCATCTCAGAATTCAGACTTTTTCTCAGAATTCTGACTTTTTTTCTCAGAATTCTGACTTTTTTCTCAGAATTCAGACTTTTTTCTCAGAATTCTGACTTTTTTCGGAAGAATTCTGGCTTAACTCTCAGAATTCTGACTTTCATCTCAGAATTCAGACTTTTTCTCATAATTCTGACTTTAATCTCAAAATTCTGACTTTTTTTCTCAGAATTCAGACTTTTTTCTCAGAATTCTGACTTTTTTCGGAAGAATTCTGGCTTAACTCTCAGAATTCTGACTTTAATCTCAGAATTCTGACTTTTTTCTCAGAATTCTGACTTTAATCTCAGAATTCTGACTTTCATCTCAGAATTCACTTTTTTCTCAGAATTCAGACTTTTTTCTCAGAATTCTGACTTTTTTTCTCAGAATTCTGACTTTTTTTTCAGAATTCAGACTTTTTTCTCAGAATTCTGACTTTTTTCGGAAGAATTCTGGCTTAACTCTCAGAATTCTGACTTTCATCTCAGAATTCAGACTTTTTCTCAGAATTCTGACTTTTTTCGGAAGAATTCTGGCTTAACTCTCAGAATTCTGACTTTCATCTCAGAATTCAGACTTTTTCTCATAATTCTGACTTTAATCTCAAAATTCTGACTTTTTTTCTCAGAATTCTGACTTTTTTTCAGAATTCTGACTTTAATCTCAGAATTTTTACTTTTTTCGGAAGAATTCTGGCTTTACTCTCAGAATTCATACTTTTTTCTCAGAATTCAGACTTTTTCTCAGAATTTATACTTTTTTTCTCAGAATTCATACTTTTTCTCAGAATTTATACTTTTTTTCTCAGAATTCATACTTTTTTCTCAGAATTCTGACTCTAATCTCAGAATAGTGGATCTTACAGTTTTTCTCGATTGTTTACACACAAATATTGGTACTTGAAACACAATGACCACAAAATGTAACTCATGCACCAACCCCCTGAACCAATTCTGCTAAACTACAAGCACAATTCCTGCTTTACACTCAAATTGCAGTTCTAAAACACACTTTTTCCAAAACTCTACACACAATTGTCATGAAGAAAATCTTTTGTTTTCACAAGGAACACACTGTTATTCAAAACTCTAAAGTTAATTTCCCTACTATGCACACTGACTCCTCACATGGGCAAACACCTAACACACATGTTTCCACTCAGCAATCAGAGCTTTAGCATAGAATGGCAACAGGTGAGCTCTTCTGTTTTGGAGCAATGGAGGCCAATGTTGTAAACAGAGGCAGAGCCAGAGCCAGAGGAGTGAGAGTAAGAGGAGGACGATGGGGAGGACGAGGACGAGGAAGGCCAAGGACAATCATTTCTGATGAGATCCGAGCAACTTTGGTTGACCATGTGGTCAACCACGGCCTAACAATGAGGGAGGCTGGGC